AAGTGTCATTAATGGCACACGCCATGTCGCCACCTAACAGAGGCTACGTCCCTATGAAAGATATTATGTATAGAAAATCAGTAGAAATGAGAAATTAAAATAAACCTGTCCAAACAATTAAACCTTTATAAGGCTATTAACAGACTCGTTTGTGTCAATTTAAATACTAAGATTTTCCATACTTGGATTTAGTCTATATAAAGAGGAATGATTTGTATTTTTGTATGTATTCGATTCACGTAAAAACTACTGATTTTTTTTTATAATATAAGGTGGCAAACGAGCAAGCGGTCACCTGAATCCATTGAAATGGAAAGCGACCGCTGCCCATAAGCATCTGCAATTGCAGATGTTTATGGGCAGTTGCCTACCCTTAATTAACGGAGGAGGCGACGCACATAAAGAGGATATTTCCCCTTTCTATGCGTCTCCTCCACTGTCAAATCCACTTTTCCTCCCCATCCTTTCCTCTTAAGAAAAGGGCGGTAAGGGACTAAAATTAGGCCTCCGGCACCACACTCATCAGCGAAACGCGGAATTGCTTCCACTTTACGCCTGTTTTCTGTGTGGTGGTGGTATTACACCGGGCGAGTCGACCCATTTGTGCGAAGATGTTAAAGTGGGCCACTGTTAGATTTCAAAAATTCTTTCACCATTAGAAAGGTAATTTATCTGCGAGTAATATAGGCTATGTTTTTTATTGTATTATTTGTCGCGAACAACAGCTATTATACAATTAATGACATTATCAGCCAGTGACTGGATTTAATTTCTCATTATTTAGAGTACAAGTGATGTGACAGTTTTTTCATGTGTACCTGATTTTATAAAATGCTGATTCTGAATAAATGTGGTAATTATATTTGTTTATTAATTTGACCTTAACATTTTTAGACATATTTCTTTAGACAAGAGGCTTTAAAAATGGGTTTTGATGGTACAAAATCTTTGCCTAGTCAATTGAATTGAGTAAAATTACTATATTAGTACTTGTACAAGTAGTAATAAAGGGAGATACCCTAGGCAGTATCATCAGCCAGTAACTCACATGGCATGGCAGATCAACAAGGAATAATATTTTAAAACAAATATATAATTACATATATAGGGATATAGGAAAATATTTTAAAAAAAACAGATGTATAATTCTTTTTTATATTTGTAATAACATGCTAATAATTACAGTAGTCATTTATAGAAGAAAAGTAATAAATAACAATAAATGTTACTTAGTAAACAAAATTCTTCCATTCTGAAAATAATCAATAAAAAATGTAGCTTAAGAAATTTGCTTAAAATAAACATATAACAATGTGATGTACAAGATTTTACACAATTAAAAAATATATATATTTCCTATGAAAATAAATGTCAAATATTATCTTTATTAGAACATATTAAATTTTAATAAAAAAATAATAATAAAATTAAAAAAAGGTACAAGCATTATTTTTTACCGTTTTACAATATGTGTCTCATTATCTTACAATCATGAGTTTTCTTCGTCTAATATTCTTAAAAAAAGTTGTTACCTCTTCCAGTCTGGTTAAAAAGAAGAGATAACAAACACAGAAAAATCTTAATTTCAATCATTTGAAAAAAAAAAACCACTATCACATGATAAATCACTTCTTAAAGATCTAAAAATAATTCTTAATATAAAATAATCATATTAAATACAAACAATATAGATTTTTTCTTATAAAAACACGAAAAAATAAAATCGAAGCCCCAATCCAGCATTAGGCAATCACTAGTAGTTTCTTATCTATATATTTTTTTTAAAAACAGTTTCTATAAAACAGTCAAATATTTTTTATTTAAAGTCAACAAAAATTTCTTATAAAATATAAACAATAGAATATCAATATCTATGTAAAGGTTTAACACTACTTAATAATTTAGCATTTTTATTAGCCCAGGGCAAAAAATTACTTTTTGTAGCAATTACACATTCCAATAATAAAATACAATCAACTTCTGCCCTATGTGTATTTATAGGTTCTTTTTGTAATAATCTTCTATACAAATTTGATAAAGTATAACTTATTTTTTCTTTGGCTGTATGCCCCTTGTTGCTTTTGCCTTTTCCACCAGATGTGATCTCATCCTCTTCACATGACATACTGGCCATTGACAGTGACATTTCATCAATTTCCCTCCATTCTTCATAACTGATATTTAATTCTGGCCATTCATCTTCATCATCGGTTATAATACTTTCATATGTCCTCTTTGGTGAACTGACACTAAGAGGTTTATTTTTTTCTCTATAATTGTTTATGGTTTTATTTTTTTTATCCAACTCTCTAAATCCAGTAATGGAATCAACACAGAGAAGGTCTTGAGGGAATTTGGCGTTTGCATCTTTATATTCTGCGGTAAGGATTTTAAAATCAAACCGGTTACCATTATGAGCAACTAAACATACAGGTTTAAGTAATTCTTCTAAAAAAGAATTGAGAGTTTGAACTCTTTCTTTAAATAGTGGCTGTTTTGCTAACAATGTCTCTGATAATCCAGTCATATTTGCTGCTCCTATGCTTATATATCTTTCAGGGTTAAAAAACAATGATAGCTTATTTACCAATGGTATTTCACCTACCGGCGTTAGCTCGATGTCTTTCGCTGAAACCGCTAAGAAAGTTAATTCAATGATTTTAGTTTGGTTTCTCTCCTCTTGGGGCAAACCTGTTGTTTCTATATCGAAGAATACGAAAGTTGATATATCCATTTTTCTTAATCACAAATAAACTTGGACTTATGATGTCACGATGTCCTGTCGATGGACGGTAGTAGAATGGAATTTCGCACTGCACAAATTATATGAATTATTTTGTATACAACTGTACTTGATGCAATGAATACATGCACCGTGAAATTAAAACTGAATGAATTATCATTTTACTTTATTGAGAAAATGATTAAAGTCTTGACAAGTTGTGGACAAAACTATTAAAAAAAAATAAACAACCTTAAATGACTCACCGTCAAAATGTCAAATGTCAGGTTGACATTTAAGCGTTCCGTTTCAAGATTTTAGTTTCTACCCTAAAAGACATATTGAAACTTATTTACATTGTTTAATTTATTTTAACTTTGATATATTAGGAGTTTCATTAAATACTTTTACGTACTTTATGTTAAGTGTAATTTTTAAATGTTTAAAATACAAACTATACTTTTAAATGTAAAATACAGACAATAGTAGAGATTTCCTGTTTTCGCACAATGTAGAAATCTATTCTTTAAACTCTGCTTATCCCTACAACTTAAGTGGATAGTTATTATGTTCAAAATGGTTACACTTAATGCACTTAACTACATGTTTTCATTTCAGTCACCTGGATAGTGTCTCGTTCGTGTCGTCACAAAGTATTTTAAAAGTAAATTAGTTTGTTTCGCACAATCTGTTGTGTTGTAAAATTGTGGTTTTTACGTCAATTATTATAACAACCGTTTAGACGTCAGCGCTTGTCTAAATTCTTATCAGCTTTGATAAAATAGGTTCAACAAGATTTTTTTGATAATCCGTAAAAGCCTTAAATACACAAGGAGTAGTTGCTTTTGTATTAAAGCTAAATAAAGTTGTATTTCCTAGTATGATTGGAAGTATTATTATTATACTTAGACGCTTTTAAGAAAAAATGTGGGCAAAATTAACACGATATTACATCTGACATTTGAATCATAATAAAAAGTCTACTTTCAGGATTAAATTAAATTTAATGAAGTAGATAGCACGATTAGAGCCTTTTTCAACATTTTTTTTTAATATTTACTCTACACATTCAATAATTAAAAATATTCTGACGTGGAAACCCACCGTTATTTATTATAATGCACTGAAGAAAAACCCGAAAGTCCATCTACACGGTAGCCAATTCAAAAAGTGTGCCTAAAAGTGTGTAGGAACCCTAAAAAAGTTGTTAGTCGACGCATTAAAAGTAATCCACTAAACAAAATAAACCAACGCACTAAAGTTTCGTCGTAATAATCTTTTGTTTGTCGAGTATTTGTTGTTCCCATATCAGCGGATAGATATACCAGGAGTCGTAACTTGATTCAGTTTAGTCAGTGTGTTGTGAGGAGTGAGGATTGTCCATAATGTCCGTACTAAGTCAGATAGGATGTAGTATTGTGGGTGAGTTTATTATAAAGCCTCAAACTGAAATCGACCAATACTATAAGTATTAATTTAGATTGTTTTCTACTAGCATTTTACAATCATATGATGTAGACCCTAACACACTCACTGTGTATCAGGCCGATATCGGCCTGCCGCGGTACTTAAGATGGTTTGGAGAAAACTCTGCCCCTCTTGTTAGTGCGAAACTATAATTTCAGTTCACATTACATAAAATGTATACTTTATGATTCCACAAAGTAATTTAATCTATCCTAGTGCTGGTGGGTCTAGAATGACCTGCCACGCACTGCCGGAAATATCATTGGGGGCGCATTTTGGCCGCCGCATCAGAAGAAGAAAAGAGAACAGCTGTTTACTTTTAAGCCATTAGAACCGATACAAACTGCTGTCGTCAGCCGTTGAATGTTCAAACTACCCCCTTAACCCTCATTCGCACGGCCGCTTTTTTACGCTCATTCCCATACGAACGATTTGAAATCCTGTTTCATTCGCGTAAAGCTCAAAATGTCTCAATACGCGATAAAAAAGCTTTTATATCTGGTTTAAAAAGCACTGCTGTACGCTTTTAAAGCGCACTAAAAGATTTTTAAGTATATAGAGATATATTTTTGTATCATAAAAGCCACTTTTCACTTATATCTATACTAATGTTATAAAGAGGAAATATTTGTATTTTTGTATGTATCGAAAGAACACAAAAACTACTGGGCTAATTTCAAAAATTCTTTCACCATTAAAAGCTACGTTATCAGTAAGCAACATAGGTTTTTTACTATTATTTCACGAAGACGAAGTCGCAAGCAACAGTCAGTCTAGTATACTTTAGGTCTAGTCTATTATAAGCTTGAGGGTAGTGCTTTGTGAAATTTCCAACTACGTCACAGTATACCAAAATACCCACTTATGTCAAAGCGCAACATATCGATTGTTCAAGTCAAGATTATCCTAGTTCATATGTTTATTTTCAGTATGCTACATGTGTTTAAGTATGGGGTTAATGTATGCCTGGCCGTCATGTACTTTGAAGTTATTTTCATCAAACAACACCACCCTCAACCGACCGATGAGTGAAACGGAACTGGCGTTATTTGGTAGCCTTTCCTCTATTGGTGCACTGATTGGCACACCTCTATCTGGATTCCTACTTGATACGTTCGGTAGAAAATACAGCTGTATTCTGTTCTCTCTTCCGCAAGTGGTGAGTAAAGTTCATTTGTTCTACGAAAGAGATTTCATGTGATTTTAGTTGGTGCACACAACTCTGAAACGGTTAGAAATTTGTAGAACTTTCGTCGAAGTATTCAAGTTTTGTGTATCGTTTGTCCTATAAATTCTGTTTCAAACTTAATGCATATCATCATCAACTTTCTCTTAGGAGGGTCGGCACAGTATTGCTCTTCCATACATCTCTATCAGTCGTCGTATCTGAATTCACTCCTTTCTTAAGCATATCCTCTTTCACACAATCCATCCATACTTTTTTCTGTCTTCCTCTTCCTTTGTAGACATCCACATTCTTTCTTAACACTTTCTGGTTTATGTTCCCATCAAAAAACAAAGTAAACCAAAAAATAGTAAAAGCATTATTTTCCTTCATAAAAATTACATAAAATTGAACACAAGGGCGGATCTAGCTTTGCCGTCAGGGGGTGGGATCACATAGTCGTGGTCAAGTCAAGAACTTGACAAAATATGTAAATATATTTGGCAAGCTCTTGGCCAACCAGCTCAC